GCCGCTCCTTGGAATCTCTATGGGGCAGTTCTACTCTGTCCTACAGGGTCGCTATGAGGTGGAATCAACCTGAAGACAACGGGTTTGGTTTTTTTGTTTTGTTTTTTAATCTCTTTTAGAAAAGAGCCTTGGTGGTGCAATGGTTAAGCGCTTGGCTGCTAACTGAAATGTCAGTGGTTCAAAACCACCAACGGCTCCACAGGAGAAAAAACCTGGTGATCTGCTCCTGTAAAAATTACAGCCTAGAAAATCCTATAGGGCAGTTCTACTCTGTCACATGGGGTTGCCAGGAGTCGGAATTGACTCATTGGCACCCAACAACAACATCTCTTTAGCAAGAGAGAAGACAACACATAAAATCAGCGTGTTGCTCGAACCTGGCAAGGTGCTAGCTACATTTTGCTTGTTTCATGTTTTTTTTCTCCTCAAGGCTAACAGTTGCTTAGAAACCTCTTTGAAACCCTAAAAGCCACCTGATGATTCCGATTAAGGAATGGCTCATTCAGGTGAGGGCCACAGCACAAATAATCCAATGTGTGGAGTTGCTTATGGATGTTGGCTGCAATGTCCTGGTGAGCAAGCAGCCTTCCGTTAGATCACGACATCGTCTAATTGTTGAGTGAGGACGGTTCCTTCCCGTCGCAGTGTGCGGCGCAGTCGGCTAAAACAGATGAGATTCTGTAGATATTAAAAGTGCCTGTGTTGTAAATAATAATGCCATCATCTCTTTCACAGAAAGCACTTTCACTAAGAGCTGCATTTTAACACATTTGCATGAACTCATTTAGGTAGTAGTGGTGGGGTGGGGGAGGCATTGTAGGATGAGTTTTCATCTTCCATGAACTTGCCAGGTGTTTCAATTAGGAGGGTGATAAAACCTCCCAGGAGCCCTGAAAGAAATGCCTCCTCAATCACATGTTCCAAATGGGGACACGTTCCCAATAATCACACACCTATTATGCGGCAGCGAGTGTATTTACTGATTTGACATACCCAGAAGAAATGGACTTTTTTTCTTTTCAAGAGTAAAGGGAATCAAGATGATTCTTCTTTCTTCTAACTACTTAGCACAGACTTGAGAAACAGGCTCGGGCACTATTCCAGGGGCGGCAGTAGCAGCCACAGCAGGCAGGAGCAAAAAAAGAAAAAAAAAAAAAAAAAAAACAAACCTGTCTCCGACAAGTCAGTTCCGACACGTAGCGACCCTGTAGGACAGAGTAGAACTGCTCCATGGGGTTTGCAAGGCTGTAATCTTTAAGGGAGCCAACTACCACAACTTTCTCCCATGGAGCGGCTGGTGGGTTCGAACCGCCAACCTTTTCGTTAGCAGCTGAGTGCTTAACCGCTGCGCCACCAGGGCTCCTGCAGGCAGGAGCAGGAAGGGACTTTGGTCTGGGAAAAGCTCACAGGGATACGAAGGCTAACTGCTAACGGCCACCGAGGTCGGCTCCTTCCAAAGCACAAGCATTCCACTCTCCGTGTGACCAACAGGGGGCAGTCTCTGTTAATTAAAGCCGGGAGCTGCAGCCAAAGCGAGCCTCCTCGGAGGGCCGGAGTCAGATGGCTTGGTGACAGGCAATATTTTACAGAGATGTGGAGGCAGAGCCCAAAACGGACTTTTCTGTCCAGATTTTGTCTCTTTTCTCTAAGGTTGTTAATATTTTTTTAAATCAAATTTGGAAGTGCCTTAAGACCCCCATCCCTGGCAGGAATGTGTCTGTGACGTACTGTTATGTCACTAGTGAAGCTCTGCCCTCTGTCCTCATTTTGCTGGGAAGTGCCATGGTGGGGGTGGGGTGGGGGGTGGGAATGGAGGATGGTGGGAATAGAAGGTGGAGCCCTGGATTAGGAGTCTGGCAGTCTGCATCCAGTCCTGGCTTTATCATTTGCTCACCATGTGACCTTGGATTAAACCCTTAACCTCTCTGAGCCTCAGCTTCCTCTGCTATGGACTGCATGCTGGAGGAGTCGTTTGTAATTCAGAGTTATAGACGCTTCCCAACCCTTCTGTAAGCATGGTGACATCAGAAACTATCATCTGTGTCATAAGTGTTTCTTTCCTCTTTTGGTCCAAGACAGGGTCTTGTATGTATGTGTATATGTATATATATATATATATAAACACAAACCCGTTGCCTTCGTGTCGATTCTGACTCACCGTAACCCCACGAACTGCTCCATAGCATTTTCTCCGCTGTCATCTTTTGTGGAAGCAGATTGCCAGGCATTTCTTCTGTGGTGCTGCCGGGTGGGTTTGAACTGCTAACCTTTAGGTTAGTAGTGGAGTGCAAGCCGTTTGTTCCACCCAGGACCTCTTTCATAGAAGATCCTTAATTAGTTCATACAGCCCATAAATATTTTTTGAGTTCTCACTATGTCCATCATAGTTTTACGTGCTGGGGACACATCTATAGAGTCAAGTTCCTTTCTGGCATGGAGTTTACATTATAATTGGGGGAAAAGGACAATTAGCACATATGAAGTATAATATCAGGGGGATTGAGACTTTGGAGACTGATTTGAGGACAGCACTGTGGCTGCAGTGGTTAGAACACAGGCTCTGGAGTCAAATTTCTTGGGTTCAAATGCCATCTCTGGCACTTCCTCGAAGAGCTACCATGGGCAACTGGCTGCATGGCTTTGGGTCTCAGTCTTTCCCTCTGTTGTGTGGGCCTACTGATACTATCTAACCATAGAGAGTTAAATGAGATCATTCACTCAATAGCTCAGCAAAGATTCCCAGAGTATCTGCTCAGGCACTGCTCTAAGCTTTCTCGTGGAGGTGATTTTAGGAAAGCAAGCTTACTGGGTTTGTTGCAAACCCTGAAACAATGTCAGCTATCCTTAGCTGACACACCCATGCTTGTGTTTGTAGGGATTCACACAGCGGTGGGTGTGGGTCGCCATATGCTTCCCAGTCACACCCGGACATGGCACACACTGTCTTATTTTGGGCATCCCATTATACTGAATTCGCTGAATATGAAAAAAACAATCTCACACCTCGTCCGTGTAGGTTTAGGATATAATATAGCCAGTCTTCCAGGGGCTGGTATGCTCCCTGGCGCTGCTGCATCAATGCTGACCTGGCATGTTTTCGGGGGTAGGCTCAGTATTTGCAGATCTTTGCGGGAGACAGTAGGTGATGTTTCTTCAAGGAGAAGGTGTGATTAGACAAACTCCCTCTCATTCTGAGGAAATCTGCAATGAAGTCCCAGTAAAACCTCCCACACCTTTTCAACGAAGGGGACCCCACTATGACATTTTACATGTGACCAAAGTTCTTGGTTCTTAGAAAATGCCATGTGAAGCCCTGATTGCAGCCAAATGGAGAGGAGGGTGGTGGAAACATCATTTCTCTGCAAATCGCCTAGCTGACTGCAAAGTGTATAGTTAGTTAATGCAATTAAAAAACAAAACGCCGGGGCGTGTGGAGATCTAAATTTGGTGTAGCAGCTTTGGTACAAACCCTGTTCTGGGGGCTACAGGGAGCCAAATTCAAGCAGAGGAAGAAGTGGAAGAAATGGGAGAGGGCCGATGGATGGCTGGAATAGGCTGAGGAGAGAGGGCAGATTTGGAAACACTGAGAGGCGACAGGAGGCTGGAACCAAGGAAGCAGGGCCTGGCTCTGCAGCCCCGGGTGAGGATGTCCGGGGGCTCCATGGGGACTGGGGCCAGCCGGTTCTGGAGAAGGATGTGCGGGTTCCAGGTGCGGGAGGGTGGCTGAGACTGGGTGTCCAGGCCTTGCGTTGCGCCAGATCCGGGCGCACAGAGGCGGCGCCGCGGTGTGCCCTCCTGTGGAGCGCAGGGAACGCTGCGGGAACGAGGAGGGACAAAGTGGCAGGTGCGAGGGGCTAGGGGAGTCCCAAGGAAAGACCTTCTGGGATGTGCTATTGCCTCGGTCATGTCCGCTGCCCCTCCTTACCTCTTATGTTTCTTAGCCTTTAGTTCATCCCAGGCCCTCTCCTGGGGAGGGGAGGGAGCGGGGGTCTGACTACCTAGTCTTCCCCGAGCGCCTCGGCCCCGGGAGTTGAACCCGCAGTTGCGCACTCAGCACAAGGTGCAGACGAGGGCAGGGCGAGGCGGCTTCACGCGCCTGGGAGGAGAGATTCTGGCCAGTCAGCGCGACCTCTTGGGGGTAGAAGCTCCCTAGTCTGACCTCGGGTTTTAGGGGTCACCTCTTCCTTGGGCGAGCTGATTCTGGTCGCAGCTCCTGCCCACGCATCCCTGTAGAAGACCCGGGCGGAGCCGCCTCTGCGCCCTGGACAGGTCTGAGCCGCACCTCCCCACCCCGAGAGGGCGCGGGAGGTCCCGCTGCCATCCTCCACTTGTCGGGAAAGCCGAGCTGTTCCTCTGGCCCCGGCGGCTGCCGAACCTCACCGCCTCCCCACTAGCCCTGCAGGCTCGGCTCTGCAAGCCCCTCAACCCGCTCCCCCCGCCCAAGTCACCTCTTCCCGCGCCCCCGCCCCTCTCTAGCTCGTGCCCGCCCCGCCCCCCACCCCGCGCCTCCTCTGCCCGCCCTCTTCCCCTCCCCCTTCCCTCTTGCCCTCCCTTCATTCCACAAGTGTCGCTAAGCTGTCTCAGCGCACTTGGCGAGCCGGAGAGGTGAGGGGGATCCTGCAAGCGGACGCAGGGCGGCGAGTGCGGAGCCGCGGCCCACAGGAGGCGCGGACAGCCGGACTCTCCCTTTTTTCGGGCCCCCGGCTCCCACTGTGGCGGCCGGACCTGCACCCCGCGTGGCCCCGCGCCTCTTCCCCCCGCCCGACCTGGCGCGCTCCTCCCCGGCCGGCCCCTAGGCGCGCGGCGCGCTGGAGGCGAACGCCGGCTGAGCTGAGCGCAGTGGCCGCAGACCCCGCGCGCCCCGCGCCGCTCCCTGCATGTGCGGCCCGCGGCGGCTCGCAGCCCCCGGCAGCAGCCTCGGCAGCTTCGGCGGCGCCTCGAGAGGCGGCTGCAGCGGCTCCAGCGGCGGCATAGCGGCCGAGCCCGGGCTGGGAGACAGGATGCGCCGCGTCCTCCGGCTGCTCCTCGGCTGCTTCCTCACCGAGCTGTGCGTCCGCGTGTGCCGGGCACAGGAGCGAGCGGGGCACGGGCAGCTGGCACAACTGGGCGGCGTGCTGGTGCTGGCGGGCAGCAACCGCTCCGGGGCCACCTCCGGGGAGGCCGGCGAGGGCGCGGGGGTCTCGGACGCGCCCCCGACTCGGGCGCCCACGCCGGACTTCTGCCGGGGCTACTTCGATGTCATGGGCCAATGGGACCCGCCGTTCAACTGCAGCTCGGGCGACTTCATCTTCTGCTGCGGGACTTGTGGCTTCCGGTTCTGCTGCACGTTTAAGAAGCGGCGACTGAACCAAAGCACCTGCACCAACTACGACACGCCGCTCTGGCTCAACACCGGCAAGCCCCCTGCGCGCAAGGACGACCCCCTGCACGACCCCACCAAGGACAAGACCAACCTGATCGTCTACATCATCTGCGGGGTGGTGGCCGTCATGGTGCTCGTGGGCATCTTCACCAAGCTGGGGCTGGAGAAGGCGCACCGGCCCCAAAGGGAGCACATGTCCAGGTGGGCCGCCTTCCCCCTCGCCCTCCCCTCCGGGCGCCTCTCTCCCTTCTCTGTTCTTCCCCGCTGCCTCCAGGCAACTGCCCCCCCCGCCCTCCAGCCTGTTCGCTGGGGCTGGCCCCCAGGAAGCCAACTTGGGCCCAGCGCGTGGAGCGTGGGGCGTTGGGCTCAGCGCAGGTATGGGTATGAGCGTGTGTATTGAGGGTCTCTGGCCCTTTCGTCCGCTTGCCGCCCCTTCTCGCCCAAGACTGAGGCGGACTTGATACACACACACTTGGAGCCCGTGGCCCTGAAGTCCTGGATTTTAGGGAGGGGGCTCGTAACGCCCCTCGGATTCCAGATGCTAGCCTGTAGGTAAAAAAGGGCTGGCGAGCCCGAAAGGGAAGGGGGGCGTGTGTGAGCCCGCGCGCGCGTGTGTTCAGGAGGTAGGGAGTGTGTGTGCCGCCTGCAACTCGTACGACTCGCGAAAATGAGGCGAGGGAGGCGGAGAGGCAGGGGAGGGCGAGAACAAAAGCCTCGTTTGGAGCGGCCGCCTCGCTTTGCTGGAGCTGCGAGGGTCGTTGCAGTTCCTGGGAATCGGGACCTTGGGTGCGCTGTCCTCGTGACTCCCTCGCCCCTTTCTCCCGCCACCACTTCTCCCTGCCCGGCGCGGCGACTTCCGCCGCACGCTGCGCCTCTTGCCCCAGCTGGCGCGGACTCCCGGGGCCGGAGCCCCCTCCCCGCGGCCCCACACCCCCCAGGCGCCCTGATTCGTCAACTTTTCCGTTTGCCTCTTTATTATGCAAGTCGCAGCAGATGGGAGAAGGCATTTGGGGATTAATGGAGCTATTTGCCTTTTGCTTTTTTTAAGTGTTTAAATTGATTCGCACAACCCAGTAACTTTGGAGGCGGAGGACGTAGCCGCGAGGACCCAGTCCTTGGTCGGGGGAGAGGCGGTCGGTTGGTGTGAGATCCAGGCCCGCGGGGTTGAAGGAGCGACAGGCGGCCTGCGAACAGCTGGATGGCTGGGGTGCAAGCTTTTTCTGGCCTCTTTCCGAGTCTGGGCCACGAAGTCACCGTGTGTCCCCCTCCCCCCCGTCCCACACATACCCCACACCTGCGACGGGGTCTGTGTGTGCGCGCGTGTGTGCACGCGCTCCGTGCGCCTGCCTAAAAAAATCTGAACAAAGAAACCCACCAAAAATAGGTGAAGGAACATCAGCACTTCACTAGTAATTATTTTCTATCTATACGCAGAGGGTATCCGATGAATGTTTTTTTCCAGAGGGAAGGGATTTGGGGAAAGAGCTGAGGGAATTCTCTCCGTTTGGGTCAGCAAGCTGGGGGGTATGGATGGATGGAGAGGTCTCCAGGCAGAGGACTCTCTAGAGGTAAGCTCCGAGGGCATTCTAGAAAGCCTGACCTACTAAAGGAATGGAGCTCTGGTGGCTGGCCCCTCCTACCCCCTGCAACCCCAAGGTACCCGCAGTTGGAGCCCACTGCTGGGCTCTTGCACTCTCCTCGGTCCTGGGCAGACCCTTTGGATTGCCCGGGGTCTTTGTTAAAGTGAGGGCAGATGGGGAGCAGAGCTGCTGCAGCGGGTATCAACTTGGTAGGGAGAGTCACGCAGAGACAGACAGGTAGGCTGCTTTGCAGATTCCAGGTAACTCCTCTGATGAAATCTCCAGCCAGTGTTCCTAGGCAAACCTGGTCTTAAAGGAACCTGGTTCGGAGGCTGGGGGGAGGCACTGTGGATACGAGCTGGTCTTTGGGCTTCTATGGGAGAAAGTGCAGTCAGCTTCAGGCCTTCTTTGATCTTGGTGTCTTAGTGCCCCAGCACTCCACCTTGAACCTGAAGACCTGGCAGGAACGCAGCTTCCCTGCCCTGCCCCCTCGCAGCTCTGCTGGGGAAGAAAAATCACTCCAGCTAAGGGGGTTGCAGTTACTGTCACCACTTCTGCAGGTAGCTGGAATGGACAGCTTGGAGGTGGATCCAGTCCTGGGGAAGCAGAGTCTCAATACAGACTCTGCCTGTAAAAATTCTGCAAACTACAGAATTGAACGGAAGTGCATGCTCTTGAAGAGAAAGAAAGAGAATTGTGGATTTTTTACTGGTAGATTCTAAGGTGGAGTTTTTAACCCTGGTTGCTGTTTAGAATCATTTGGAATGCTTAAAAACAAACAAACAAACCCTAGATAATTAAATCAGAATTCTAGGGGGTGGGGCTTGAGCACCTGTGCCTTTAAAAAGCTCCCCAGGTGACTGTGCTGTTCAGCTAACCACTAACTAAAAGGAGATAATATTTGTTGAGCACAGTACTGTATTAGTTGCTGTGCGTGTATTTAACATTCTCTTACTTAGTTCTCTTAACTACCCTATAAGACAGACGCTATTTTTATTGCCATTTTACAGACAGGGTAATCATGGCTTGATTTGGGAGGCTTGCCGTAGGTCACTTTGTTCGAAAATCGTGCAGCCTCTAGTCCCCTGGTTTCAGCTGTGTCTAGGACAGATATTTTCAGATCAAGTGAGCATCAGAATCTGGCGGTGCTTGCTAAAACGTGGATTCGTGGGTTCTATCCATAGAGATTCTGAATCTGTAGGTCCCGGGTGGACCCTAGAAGTCTGCATTTAACAACCTCTGTGAATGGTTCTGATTGCAAGTGGTCCGCACTTGGAGAAACACTGGTCTTGGGTTTGGGAATATTTTACAGGTGGGGGATGGACGGCTTAATCCCAGAGAGGAGAGCTAATGTGACTCTCGAATCTGCATTGCCTTCTCCACGTATGTAACCTTTGGGGTGTTTCTGTGGCACTGGGGCTGCCCCAGGGACCCTCCAGATGCATCCTGATGCTCCTTGCACAGTTAATCATATCCAGCCCTGGCTATGGCAGTCGGCTCATTAGCTATTGCCTAGTGGTTCTAAGGAAGGCTGTGGTGGGAGGTGGCAGGCCAAACTGCGATTAGCCAAGATTAATATGTGGGCAGCAGCCCTCTAAGTGTGTTTTGTCTGGGGTTGCGAGGGACACTGAGATGGGGTTGGTTCTCATCTCAGCTGACAGCACCTTCTTTTCCAAGCCTCACAGCATGTCATTCCTGTTTCTTAAGCTTTGCCCCGGTGAACCAAAAAAACCCGTTGCCATCGAGTCAATTCCCACTCATAGTGAGCCTGTAGGAGAAAGTAAAGCTGCCCCATAGGGTTTCCAAGGAGCGGCTGGTGGGTTTGAACTGCTGACACGGCGACACCAGGGCTCTGGCCCGTGTATGGGCGTGGATTAATCAGTAAGCATGATACGCGCCGGCTTGCATTGTGCAAGGTGCGCATGGGTCTAACCGTATTTACTTGCTAATCTGTGGTGAGCAATTTCCCATGGGTTTCACCACGTGTTTGCACTGCAGATTGGTGGAAAGGCACAGTTGGGCCCGTGCATGCCTTGCTTATTGGGTAATCCGGCCCTGCCAACGTAGTTGCGTTTTCACAGCGGACACTTCCATCCCAGATGTCACTTTGCCGTCTCAGAGTCTCGGGCTCATGCACTGCTTCCTTCTGGGCTGTTTAGGATGGAGCTTAAAAACCAAAACCAAACCCTTTGCCGTCGAGTCGATTCCGACTCATAGTGACCCTATAGGACAGAGTAGAACTGCCCCAAAGGGTTTCCAAGGAGTGGCTAATGGATTCAAACTGCTGACCTTTTGGTTAGCAGCTGAGTTCTTAACCACTGTGCCACCAGGGCTCTAGGATGGAGCTTTGGAGAAAGCAATTCCAGGAGGGAGTGGGGAGGCTTGCATAGGATGTTGTAAGACCTGCACAGACCGTCATTCAAGGCAGCAGCAGCCACACTCCACCGCTGTTTATTGGAACAGGTGACTGGAAATGGTAGCCTGCTCTGGTTACCAGCCATGCTGCCATGTTTTGCTTGGCTGCAAGGTGTTCTTATTTTAAAGTTTTCTTCATTTTTTTTTTTTTTATTGTGAGACAATTTAAACATATAAAACCTTGAAAGAATAATAAAATGAACTCTAGTATATCCTTCAGTCCCTGGATGGCGCAAACAGTTAAGTGCTCGACTACTAGCCGAAAGGTTGGTGGTTTGAACCCATCCAGAGGTGCCTCAGAAGACAGGCCTGGCATTCTGCTTCTGAAAGTTCACAGCCTTGAAAACCCCATGCAGCAATTCTGCTCTGCACACGTGGGGTCACTATGAGTCGGGAATTGACTCGACAGCCACTAGTAACAACAACAACTGTTTATTGAGCACTTACTATATGCACCAGGAAGAAAGACCTGGCAATTTTCTCAAAATCAGCCATCAAAAACCCTATGGAGCACAGTGCTACTCGGACACACATGGGGTCGCCATGAGTTGGAATCAACTCAACAGCAACTAACAATAACAATATATCCTTCATCTAGATGAGAGTTCCTTGACCTCGGCACTATTGACATTTGGGGCCAGGTAATTCTTTGTTGTGGGGGCTGTCCTGAGCATTGTAGGATATTTGGCAGCCTCCATGGCCTCTACCTACTAGATGCCACTAGTGCCCCCTCAACTGTGATAACCAAAAATGACCCCAAGCTTTGCCAGATGTCCCCTGGGGGTCAAAATCATCCCTGGTTGAGAATGCTGGTCTAGGATTAACAGTTATTAGTATTTTGTCATACTTGCTTTCTCTTTTTTCATGTTTGCTCTCTCTCTCCGTATATCCAGATGTTTACTTTTCTTTCTTTTTTGGCTGAAGCATTTGAAAGTAAGTTGCAGACATGACACTTCAGCCCTAAATACTTGAGCGTGGATCTCTTCCTCAGAGCAAGGCCATTCTCCTACATAACACGATTCCTTTATCACACCAAGGAAAATGAACCGAAATTCTGTAATATCATCAAATATCTAATCATAATAAAATTTTCCCACTTGTACCAAAAATGTCTTATAGCTTGGTTTTTCCAGGCAGGATTCAATCAAGGTTCATTGCACGTGACTGTTACGTCTCTTTTGTCTCTTTCAGGTAATGTAATGTTTTTTAAATGGGGCTTCGAACCGGTTCGTTCCAGTTCGAATCCCTGCTGAGAATTTGCATTTCCACCCCACATATACAGAATCAGAATCTCCATGTTAACACTGTCCCCCAGCTGGTTCTTATGTATAATAACTTTTGACCACCACTGCTCTGCTAGTGGTCCCTAGCCAGCAGCATTAGTGTTGCTTGGGAACTTGTTAGAAATGCAAATTCTCAGCAGAGGTTTGAACCTGAACAAACCGATTGGAAGCTGTGGTTTTAAAACCAACTTAGAAATAATTGGTAACATTTAAGAACTGGGAGATTTCACACAGAAATCCTGATTTCTGGTTTTTCTTGAAAAATCAGTAGGCCTGGCAACTCTGGACTTTTCTTCAAATCGTGCAGTCATTCTCAGCTTCCTTTTCTTAATTGTTCCTCCCCTATCAACATAAACTCGCTGCCCCCTAAGCTTCCTGTCTAACCTTTCAAGTTGCTGTTGTCAGTTAGGTCTCATATAGGTACATCTTTAAAAGAGCACAGTGGTCAAGGCAGACATTCTTTACTGATTAAGCTAAACTATTGTTAGGTTTAAAAAAGACTTCGGGGGATATTTTTGGTTTAAGGATTAAGGTTTTAAGATGATCTCAGGGCAATAATTTTGGGGGTTCATCCAGCCTCCATGGGACTGGAAATTCTGGATTCCATGAAACTTGAAATTCTGTTCCACATCCCTCCCCTCTTTTGATCAGAATTCTTCTATAGAATCTTTGATCAAAATGTTCAACACTGGTCTTGCATTTTAACATGACAACTATTGGTCGCCGCTGAGTGGTGACTGCTCCCTTTAGGAAGTTCTCAGGTTCATCTCAGAGGCCACCTCAGGTAATTCACCGTGTTATGTGACCAGCCCCCTCTAGAGAGGCAGTCAAGGCCGATCCTAACAGCATAGGCTCCAATCACATTGCCTGAGATTCAGTCCCAGCTACATCACCTAATGGCTCTGTGACCTTGGGAAAGTTGCTTCAGCTCTCTCAGTCTTATGTCCTCCTCTGTTGTGAGGATTGAGAAGCTCTTAGCACAGGGTCTATCACATGGTGACTGCTCAGCAACAGTTCCCCTCTATCACCATCCCTATCATTTGGATTTTCTACCCCTGGGCTACCAAAGGCATTGTTGTTGCAGTCTGGATACTTCATGCCCAGCCTTTACTGTGCTACATCTATTTAGCTGTCTGATCTTGGCCAAGTCCCATAACCTCTCTAGACTTACATTTTTTTCAAAAAATTTATTGTGTTTTAGGTGAAAATTTATAACGTGAATTAGTTTTCCATTCAAAAATTTTATACACAAATTGTTTTGTGACATTAGTTGCAACCCGCACAGTGTGTCAGCAGTCTCTTCCTTTACCTTTCCACCCCGGCTTCCCCGTGTCCCTTCATCCAGTTTGCCTGTCCCTTCCTGCCTTCTCATCTTTGCTTTTGAGCAGGTGTTACCCATTTGTTCTCATATGTTTGATTGATCTAAGAAACATGTTCCTCACGTGTGTTATTGTTTGTTTTCTAGGCCTGTCTAATCTTCGGCTAAAGGTGGACTTTGAGAGTGGCTTCAGTTCTGAATTAGAGAGTTCTAGACTTACATTTTAATCTTAGCAGGAGGGAGTGGCAGATTTAGAATAGGAGGGAAGGTCCACATATGATGATATTAAATGTACTGAGAGCTGTTGGGCTACGTGATGTTGAAGGACCCTTGCTGGCTTTGCCATTTTACCATAAGCTGGTATGTGAGAGTTGATTTAATTTCACGGCCCCCTCTCCATGAGGTGGGTTCAGTCTGCCATTTACAGAGGCACAGGTTGCTTTCTGAGAGGATTAACAGGCTCTTGGTGAGCAGAGGAGTCAGACGTCAAGCCCAGACAGCCTGAGACCAGAGCACAGGTCCTCGACCACTGCACCACACTGCCTTTGAACTCAAACATGCAGGACTTCGTCTGCTCAGCTCCATCAGACGTGGTCACTGCCCTGCAAATAACGGCATGCCCACGGGGGCCAGTTCCAGGAGCCACTGTAAGACAAGATAAGGAATGTGCTCCTTATCTGCCCCTGGCAGGGCCAGACCTCTTGGGGGGGGCATTGGTTCTAAATGACCTTGGGGGCAGGAACATGTGTTTGAAGCTCTCTAGACTTGAAACCAGTAGGGAACACGTATCATTATTTTGCCAACCTTCAAACAGAATCAGAAATCCAAGTGGCAAATTAGATAGCACACTCCTATGTGGTTTTCAAACACTCATCAGAAGAGCTGAAGTCCCTTGCAAAGAAATGGCATCAAGTGACAAATGCCCTCCTTCCCTGGCCTTTTCTCTTTTTTTCTTCCAACTTCCCTCCCACCTCCCTTCTTCCTACAGATTTGTGGTTATCCTGTGGTTTCCACCAGCCTCCCTGGCCGCAGAAGCCCACGCAGGCATATACTGTTGGCCACAGAAAAGGCTCCAGGTTATTTTTCCGTGCAGGATGTTTGCTTCCCTTGGGGCTCAGAGTCCTTGCATTTTGAAAATCAATTTTATTGAGGCATGATTTACACAGTAAAACACACTCACCGTTAAGCAGACATTTTGAGGAACTTTGACACATGTCTACACCTGTGTAACGACTGCTCCAGAAAGTCACTTCCCTCCCGTTGCCCTTGCATTCTGGAAAAACAAATGATGCCTCTTGTGCCAGAGGAAATGCTCAGGAATGCCTTTCCAGTGTTTGGAAGTCGGAATATGGTTTGGGTGTAGGGACGCCTGGGGAGTTTGAATCAAGGTCCTGGAACTCTTGGCTCAGTTTTGAAATATTGGGATCTTTTTATATATTTGGGGTCTCTGGGTGGTGCAAATGGTTAATCTGCTCAGCTGCTAATCAAAAGGTTGGAGGTTCAAGTCCACTCAGAGGCACCTTGGAAGAAAGGCCTGGCAATCTACTTCTGAAAAATCAGCCATTGAAAACCCTGTGGAACACAGTTCTACTCTGACACACATGGGGTCACCAAGAGTCAGAATTAACTGGACGGCAACTTTTTTTTTTAATTTTACTTATTCTAATTAGAGAGAAAGTGATGCACCATTTTCTTTTTGTTCCTCACATAAGCCAAGCTCATTCCCATCTTGGAGCTGTTGTGTTTGCTGAAATTCTGTTCCACCAGCCTTTGCATAACTGGCCCTTCCTCCTCATTCAGGTCTCAGTTCCAATGTCTCCTCCTCCTGGAAGCCTTCCCTGACCACCCAGGCTTAGCCGCCTCCCTCGTCCACTTAGTAGTTTTATTTGCTTCATTCTACATCACACTGATCGTATTCACTGATTGGCTTTTGACTTTTTTATAAGTCTCCTTCCACTGCATTTTTGTGCTCCTTTCTTGAATTCAGGCAAATTAAAGTGATTAGCATAGTGCCTGGCTTATGGTAGGTACCTGGTCAGTGTTAGCTAGTGTTACTCATACTGGGCTGTTGCTGTACCTGAAGTGTTGGTATCTAGTGTTAGATGCAAAAGGAGACAACAGCATCTATGGGGTTCCTTCCATACGCAGGCACTGTGTAGTCACGTGACCGGTATTCGTCATTTAATCCTCCGCCACTCTAGGGAGTAGATAATACTGCTAATACAGGGCTGTCAGAAGAAGCATGCAGACTAGTCTGTGTGAAGTCCCCATGTGACCCCTGACTGTAGCGATCTTAGTTACTTGTTGATGTCTTCCCCTCCACCCACCCGTAGCTAGAAGGGTAGCTCCGTGGCTTACGGGGCCTTGTCTTTGGTTCGCAAGCGCAGCACTCGGTTCCGGTTGTTGCTGGTTGCCGTCTGTTCTGACTCATGGTGACCCCACGTGTGCAGAGTAGAACTGAACTCTGTAGCGTTTTCAAGACCGTGAGCTTTTGGAAACAGGCCTTACTTCCGAGGCACCTATGGGTGGGTTTGAACCACCTGCCTTTCAGTTAGTAGTCCAGCGCTTAACCATTTGTACCACCCAGGGAATAGGGTTTTCCATGGATGACTTTTTGGGAAGTAGATCACCAGGCCTTTCTTCCAGGAAACCTCTGGGTGGACTTGAACCCCTAACTTTTTGGTTAACACCTGAGCTCATTAACAGTTTGCACCACCCAAGGACTCCAGGGTGCATTAAAAACAAACAAACAAAAAACACCAAACCTATTGCCATCGAGTCGATCCTGATTCATAGCGACCCTATAGGACAGAGTAGAACTGCTCCATAGGGTTTCCAAGGAGCGGCTGGTGAATTCGAACTGCCCACCTTCTAGTTAGCAGCTGAGCTCTTAACCACTGTGATAGCAGGGCTCCCCAGGGTGCATAGTAGGTGCCAAATACTGTGTTTTGAACAGACTTAAATTCTTTCTTTTTCAGGGCCCTTGCGGATGTCATGCGGCCACAGGGCCACTGCAACACTGACCACATGGAAAGAGACCTTAATATTGTTGTCCACGTCCAGCATTATGAGAACATGGATACGATGACCCCCATAAATAACCTTCGTAAGTATAGCCGTGCTGTCCATTCCACTTCTGCATGGTGACCCGTGTGGTGGTCCCTTGCCAGGTTTTACGGTGTGTGATTGGCTTAGTTCAGAGCTCCTCGCTTGTTGATTGGTCAGAAGTCTTCTTTCAGCTCTTCTAGATGACACTGAGTTTGGCACCATAGGATTTCACCTGGTTGGTTTCTCTATTAACTGGTAGTTCATTTAGTTGGCTGCTTCTGGTTGATTCTTCTATTAAATAGTAGACCACTTGGTTGGTTCGTCTTGGTTGATTAATCGCTTAACTAATAGCCCTCTTGGTTGTTCCGTCTGGTTGTGTACTTTGCTAACCAATGGATCCCTTGGTTGATTCTCCTTAGGTGGTTAATCTGTTAGCCAGTAATCCATTTTAGTGGTTCATCTTGATTGAATAATCTAATAACCAATGGTTCATTCACTTGTCTGCCTTCTGAGGTAGACCAGATGCATCATTTAAGCTTCATGCTGCTGTCAATGAATAGATACAAGTGCAGAAGAATGAGATCTATTTTTCATGAAACTGGAGTTTCCTAAAAATAATCCACAAAATATTCTGTGTGTGTGAAGAGTGTTGAGTTGTGGTCATGTTGGTTTGGGGTGTATATGTCTAATCCAACTGTAATAAATTCAGTCCCATTTTTCTGCTAGGAAAAAGATAAAGCTGTTATTTGCCATTGTATTTCAATAGGTATTCTTCAGCAGATAGAACAAACTTGGGGATCTTGGTCTGCTCCCAAAGATTTTGCTTTCCTTTCAGAGATCGGTATATACAGCATGCATTATGGAACTGATACAGGGACTCATGGTTATGGAACTGATACAGGGACTAATGGGGGTGGAGGAAAAACAAGATTGTTTAGTTTCTGACAGTAGTGTACTACCGTGGTTATTCCTAGCAATTATGTTTTCAGGTAACCCCCACATTAAAGTAATGTGGCGGGCTTGGTTTAAAATAACAAAGGCCAGACAGTTCAAGGATGTGTTTAGTTGTGGCTGGAGGTTCTTAAAAACAGCAACAGTTCTGGCATTGCACATTTCACCATCTGAATCGCCTTTGCTGCAACTCCACTAGGAGTTGCTCTGGGGTTTTATTTGCTGAATCTTAGTTTCGGGCTCTTTGGTTGCAAAGTTGTATGCCTAATGGGTAGAGGAATATACCTGTGGCATTTGACACAGGGATGTGAATTCTCTGCTTTTTGCGTGGTGACGATTTTTTCACGGCTTTGGAAATTGTTGCAGCATGTTAGCAAAGCCATTGTTTACGTTGTTTGAAAAAGGGACCCCCAAATAGAACGTCTTAGGCTTCATTACATTAAATAATGTGAAATTATTTATTTAGGAACTAGATCATAATATGGTATGAGAAATGGCTACATTTTAGAGCAAAATACACCAGCAATTGGAAGTTTTATGACCAAATCCTACAGTCCTGAAAGATGTGGTAAATTGTACCAAGGCTGACATAACATTGGTGTGTTCAGTTCCGGCTTTGATGGAAATTAACACATTCTCTTTCAGAGTCTTTTGCACTGGGAAATAAGTTGAACCTAGAGGTATGTGAGTCCCAAACGTGAGCAAGTGATTGTGATCGTAGGGTAGGGACAGCTGAAATGGTGTCGAGTCCTGGTCTGTAAATGGTGACCATTAGCAGGTTTCTTATTTGAAGTTTCAATCTTTAGGGTGATTTTGAATTAGCACTCAAATGGAATAACAGACTCATTGAAGTCACTCAAGTTTCATCATTCCGTGGGGCAAAAGGGCAGGGAGCATTAATAAATCTTGCTTAAAGAAGGGACTTTCATTTCAAGTTGTACTGATAATAAATTATTGCTCACAGATGGGTATCCAGGCACTGCGTAATTCAGAAATCTCTTGTGACAGGGTAACTTGGTTTATTTATGATTCTGGCTTTTATTCTACGTTTGTGCCTCAGTAATCAGTGATATTTTTATACCAAAGAAAGTGTATCTTGTAAAAGTCTGCTGGGAGTAAACTACAGGGATGAATACCAGATAAACTACAGGGGAGCATACCAGATGTGATGTTATGAATATGGATATTTTTACAAGAATTGCCACAGGTGGTCATTTCATATAATGTTGCCAGGTAGATCCAGTTCTTCTCTGTTAGAATTCTTGGAAGCACGTACCCTTTCCATGAATTACATTCATGTTTAATTTATATAGCACGTTAATTCTGTAGTTGATAATAATAATAATAGGTATCTTTGTAATGATATATTTGTACTTTTATTGATTTGTAGGCACTCTTTACATATTAACAGATATAGAGGAAAATTTGCATGTTCAGAAGAATGAATGGTTTTGGGAGTTCACTGAGAGGATAGAATTAGATGACTGATACTTATCAGATATTAGGGGTTTAATAAGCCAAGCAGTCATCAGAGTCCACTTTGACTAACAGAGAACTAGGAGGGAAGGAGTACGGTCTAATAGCTGGAAAATTAGACCACACCTTTGAGCCAGAACTAGAATATACCTGTTGAACATGAAAGGAGCCCTTGTGGCACAGTGGTTAAGTGCTTGGCTGCTAACCGGAAGATTGGCTGTTAGAACCCACTAGCTGCTCCGCGGGAGAAAGATGTGGCATTCTGTTTCCGTAAAGATTGCAGCCTTGGAAACCCTATGGAGCAACTCTCCTCTGTCCTATAGGGTCATATGACTTGGAACCGACTCAATGCAATGAGTTTAGTGTGGGTTTTATTGACTATGAAACCCTTTTCTGGGCATTATGGGAGTGACAAAGATGTGTCATTACAACAAAAGGAAATGAAAGATGCATCTGTTTGTTTATACACCAAGAAGGGAAGCATCATTCCACTCTTAGGTTGTTCTTCACTAAACATCCAAGTTGCCAGATTTGACTGGGAATTCAGTAGTCCCAACTTCAATGTCACTTTCATCTCTATTGAATGGCACACTTTTATTACTTTAAAAGAATAATGAGATCCTCTCTCTTCTTTTTAATGTCAACGCTAGGTCACTTTCTGATCTTTCCATTATGCTTTGGTGAAATGATAAGAAAATTAACAGTCACTGTAGAAGCCTGGGTATTTGGAAGAGGGGAGGGGAGAAGCACCTGGGTGCAGGCAAATAGGAAGGAGAGAACGGGAGTCCAGGGAGATTTTGGCCAACCTTTCTTTTCTAAATTTCCTGTGGTTGATTTCTTTCTGCGATAGCGACTTGACTTTTTATCTGAAGATGAATTTTTCTTCAGCTGTTACTGTTCATGTTCTTTGCAGCCATTCAGTGATATTGCCTAAAAATATTTAGTCTGATAATCAAAAGGGCCTGGACTTCTTTGATTAACAGGATGTAGATTCAGATGAGATAGTGATTTTCTGCAAAAGCTCCTTAGGCTTCTGTGTAATTATAGTTTGCTTTTGAAGGCACATTTTTTCCTCAAGTGCTGTGAACATACTGTTTTCCCCCACCCAACCTCCTTGCCTGCCAGTGACACCCCTCACCCCTTCAGGGACTGTGGAGTAAATATAGGTTCCCTTTATTGTTGTTGTTAGGTGCTGTGAAGTTGTTTCCGACTCACTGTGACCCCATGTGACAGAGTAGAACTGCCCCATAGGGTTTCCAAGGCTGTATGCAATCTTTATGGAAGCAGACTGCAGCATCTTTCTTCCGTGGAGCGGCGGGTAGGTTCGAACTGCCGACCTCTTGGTTAGCAGCCGAGAGCTTAACCACTGTGCCACCAGGGCTCCTTAGGTTCCCTTTACTGTTTTTAAAAGATAAGAGATGTGAGTGAGGGCTGTGGATATAACCTAGATCAGTGTTCTCAGCTCATTTGTGCTAACAGTATGCTTTTTTTTTAAGTAAAAATTTTATTTCAAAATAACTTTATATTTACAGAAAAGTTGCGAAGATTGTACCAAGAGTTTTCATATACCCTGACTTGCTTTCCCCCAGTGTCAGCATCCGACGTTAATCATGGTACACTTGTCAAAACTAAGGAACCGGTATTGCTAGCATATTACTTTTAAAGAAACTCTAGACGTTATGTGAATTTCACGTTACTTTTTTCTTTTTATAATTTATTTTATTTTTGTTGAGAATATAATGTATTTTTATGCAAATATGTGTGCCTTCTATGTTTGTTTGCCAACCACTGTCCCCCACCAAGTACTTTTGTAAGCACGCTATGCTAATTTTTTTCACAGCAACACGTAAAAAAAAATTGGCATAGTGGCTGTTTTAGCTATTTAGTGCTGCTGTAACAGAAATACCACAAGTGAATGGCTTTAACAAAGAGAAATTTATTCTCTCACAGTCTAGGAGGCTACAAGTCCGAATTCAGGGCGCCAGCTCCAGGGGGAGGCTTTCTCTCTCTGTTGGCTCTGGCGGAAGGTCCTTGTCATCAATCTTCCCAGGTCAAGGAGCTTCTCAGTGCAGGAACCCTGGGTCCACAGGATGCACTATTCTCCCGGCTCTTGTTTCTTGGTGGTATGAGGTCCCCCATGTCTCTCTGCTGCTTCTCTCTTTTATATCTCCAAAGAGATTGATTTAAGACACAACCTAATCTTGTAGATTGAGTCCTGCCTCATTAACATAACTACTGCTAATCCCACATCATTAACATCGTAGAGGTAAGATTTACAACACATAGGAAAATCACATCAGATGACAAAATGGTGGACAATTACACAGTACTGGGAATCGTGACCTAGTCATGTTGACACATATTTTGGGGAGACACAGTTCAATCCTTGACAGCAGCGCTTATGAAAATACCTCCGGCGCGGGGGGAGGGAGGTAGCAGTTGGCAAACAAACGTAGAAAGTGCGTGTTATTTGCGTAACAATATGGTATACAGCAGAACATGAATCAATTTAATAATTTCTATATGTATAATTCAGTGACGTGGATTACATTCTTCGTTCACCATTTTTTTTGCACGTGTCCCTTTTGTATTCTAGGTTCCAGTTCAGGATATAGAGTATATTTAGCACAG